TATAATTTGCCTCATTCAGAAGAGCATTTGGGGCTGCTGACAAAAACTGCAAATAAAATAAAAATAGATGAGGAAACCAAGGTGCTTAGAAAATCAGGATAAGAAAAGAAAGCTGGAGTAAATTCAGGACACCAATCAGCAAGCTGCCACGTTTGGTGAAGGTGGACAGAAATTTGCTCGAAGTAAAGAATTTAAGAGAGTTAGTTACAAAATGAGCACAATCTCTAAGTGTTCATATTATCTCAGCAGAAGCGCGCTTCTTTCTCTGAAGACTTGAAGGCTAATTGTCCTTTAGATCATCAAAGAGGAAGGTGCTAGATGGTGAGTAGGTCAATGTCAACAATAGTATTTCCATGTGGACATGATATCCTACCTCACGACTGCTGTTTCCTTTATTGTCCTCCTTGCTGACCAGTGGTGAGCTCACTGAAGGGCAGGTTAGCAAACACAATCCAGAAGGGTGGGGGTATCAGGCTCTCTGATTGCCTTGCTTAATCCAACCATCGAATTTCAAATATTTAGAGGCATGGATAGATGGAATATCTTTTATGCAACGTTTCCTCAAATCTGTTTCTTGCAACTGAACTTTTAATACAATTTGGACAGCAGAGATATAGCAGTAATCTGTTCTGCCAAGACCCAGAAGCGGAGATAACCTCACACGCAGAGGGGAAAACAGAGAGCCTTCTATACAGTACGAGGAGTTCAGACAGACACAAAGCTTCAATAATGGTCACCTCTCATTGCATCCAAAGTGCCCCAGGCAGTGACCACAGGCAAAGTCCACATTATCCTATTGTTGTCGGTCAGCTCCAATAAATGAAGAAGTACACGATCAAGATCCCAAAGTCCTACACATTGGGAGCATGGACTGTGATTATCTTAGCTTGAAATGTTTTCAAAGCAGGTCTCTCTGGTTGCTCATAGAGATCATTAAAAAGAAAGTAGCAAAGCGTTCAAGAACATCAAAGTTTAAGTAACGTATGTCTCAATGGATTAGTGGCCACATACCCTCAAATAATAGGATGGTTTGACTTGCTGGGTATGATTACTACAAGTAGACTCTTGAAACGTTCAGGGATTAAATGAGATGCTCTTAGTGAACATATTTTGTAAAGTGCTATGAAAATTCCAGTTGTTATTATTATCAGAATCCCATCTGCACGATCATCACTATTGGCTCTACTACGACACACAGGGTTGCCTGAGTGAAAAGCAAGGCTCCAGAAATCATACAAGTGAGCCCTGATATCATGGGCTGTTGTACAGTAATAATGAACAACACAATTGTCCACATAACTCTCAAGAGTCTTCACTGAGATTCTCCAGTGTGGAGACAGCGGCACCCACCTCGTCCACTGACGGGTAAAGGGCAAAGAGCTCGGCCTGCCGATTGGTCCTCCGGGCCTCCTCGTTCTGCTTCTCAAAGTCCTCGGCACTCACTTGCTCCAGGAGGTTTTCTAGCCGCTTGTCAGGCTGCAGGCTACGGAGGTCAAAGTCACAGGCAGTGACGGGGCCTTTCCCAGACACATCGCACAGCACGTTTAAGTGGCGGGGGCCTGCCTGTGAGAGAAAACAGTGGGTCTTTGTGAGAGAGACAGCGAGTCTAAAATGAGAACTGAAGAATCTTGGATGTCTCAAGACTGCTCCAATTTGGGACTACAGAATCTCAGCCAGGCCTCAAGTCTTCTGAAGAAACTGGGGATTTGAGAAGAATGACATCTTAGCTCCCTGGCTGGACTATTCCAAAATTAAATGTCTCCTTCTCACCTGAAGCAGGTAGTTACTCGTCATATGCAGACAAACCAGTCCTGAGGAAAGGACTAAAAACAGCTCTACATTCCTATTGGTTGTTGGCTTGTTCTTTCCTGGGGCTGGGGGGCCAAGCCTCTTAATGAACCATGCTCATGTCTCACACTAGAGCAAAACAGAACTGGAGGAAGGTGTAACAAAAAGGAGATTGGGCCAGGTGCAGTGGTTTATGCCTTTAATCCCAGTACTTTGGGTAGACAAGGTGGGAGGATTGCTTGAGGCCAGGAGTTCAAGACTAGCCTGGGCAACACAATGAGACTCAGTCCCTAAAAAAAAAAAATGGCAAAACTTAGCCAGGCATGGTGGTGTGCACCCACAGTCTTAGCTACTTGGGAGGTTTAGGTAGGAAGACTGCTTGAAGCCCACCCAGGAGTTCAAGGCTGCAGTGAGGTATGATTACCATTATTTCTTTTTAAACCGAGTCTTGCTGCAACACCTAGGCTTGAGTGCTATGGTGCCATCTCAGCCCACTGCAACCTCCGCCTCCTGGGTTCAAGTGATTCTCCTGCATCAGCCTCCCTAGTAGCTGGGATGACAGGCATCTACCACCACATCCGGCTAATTTTTGTATTTTTAGTAGAGATGGGGTTTCACCATATTGGCCAGGCTGGTCTCAAATTCCTGACCTTAGGTGATCTGCCCCTGTCAACTTCCCAAAGTGCTGGGATTACAGGGGTGAGCCACTGCGCCTGGCCCCATTTAAGTCTTTAATCCATTTTGGCTGCTAAAATATGATCACAAGTGACATCCTATCATGCTTTGCCATATTGTTTTGATAGAAGCAAGTCCCAGGTCCCACCCACAGTCGGGGATGAACATCACAAAGGTGTGAATGTCACAGGCCCAGACAACCATAGAATCTGTCAGGCACACTAATTTTCTGATAATAATTTAAAGTTCATATCTAGCTTCTGTAATAGTGTACTATTTTTAAAATATTGGGCTCATGTCTGTAATCCCAGCACTTTGGGAGGCCGAGGTGGGCGGATCACCTGAGGTCAGGAGTTCAAGACCAGCCTGGCCAACATGGTGAAACCCCATCTCTACTAAAAATACAAGAAAATTAGCTGGCCGTGGTGGTGCACACCTGCAATCCCAGCTACTCAAGAGTCTGAGGCAGGAGAATCGCTTGAACCCTGGAGGTGGAGGTTACAGTGAGCTGAGGTCACGCCACTGCACTCCAG